TCTTACTAACTTTTTGACTAGGCTGACCTTGAACCTTGATACTCCCCATCTCTGCCTCCCAAGTAACTGGGATTATAACCACACTTGGCCTTTAAGCTATACTTTTTTATTATGTTGGATCAACATTACATTCTGCCATTAACTTTTCCAATGAGACAGTTACTGAAAAAGTGATTTTTCAAATATAAAATATAAGATTGGCAATTATTAACTAGGATGACAAATAATAAGCAAAAAGGCTAACTTCTTCATACAAAGTAAAAACAACTTCAAGAGAAATAATAAAAACAAAAATAAACATAAAACTACTACGTGCATTTCCCTCTTTTCTGACAGCCAAGTTTAGGGTATCTTACATTACTAGAAAGAGTGACACAAGAGACCTCTCAGCAAATTACAGCAAGGCTTTATGTTAACTTTAAAATACCCAGACCAATACACTTAACTCAAATAGCAATAAAATTATTTTAAATGGAGGATACCACCTACAGACATGGGAAGATTCTCCATTGTGGGTAAGCAGATCACTTTGGCTAGGAATGAAGATGGCTAATTCTCTACCAGTAATGTATAGAGAAAAACTGAAGACTAATGTCAAATGCAACTGCTAATACTATAAAGACAAGATTCTCAGCCAGATATTAGGAAGTCATGGCATAAATTTTAGAATACAACTTAAAAACAAGAAATCAAAATCCTTTTTCATTCTTGTTTTGAGACAGGGTCTCAACTATGTAGCCCAGACTGGCCTCAAACTCAGGATCCTCCTGCCTAAGCCTGCTGAGTTTTGGGATTATTGGCTCGCACCACCATGCCAGGCTTCTTTTCCATTCTTGAACCTTAAGAATCTGAATCATTTTTGTGATTACAAGCATTTCTGGTTTGTTAGTTTGGGGCAGTAATGGGGTTTGAACTCAGCCCTGTACTTTCTAGGCTGGCACTGAACCACTTGAGTCATACTTCCAGCCCTTTTTTGCTTTAAGTTATTTTTAGGTAGGATCTTACTTTTTGCCTGAGCCCACCATCCTTCCATCTTTTCCTCCCAAGTAGCTGGGACCACCAGTGCACATCACTACACCCTACTTTATTTGTTGAGATGGAGTCTTGGTAACTTTTTGCCCAGGCTGGCCTAGAACCGGATCCTTCCAATTTCTGCCTCCTGAGTAGCTGGGATTAAAAATGTGAGCCACCTCACTCAGCTTGTTTTGGTTTTGAGACAGAATCTAGATATTTTATCCAGGCTGGCTTTGAATTCCTGGGCTCAAGCAATCACCCTGTCTTAACCTCCTGAGTACCTGAGATTACAGGCATGTACCACTGCACCCAGTGACATGCATTTTTTTTAAATGTGAAATTATCTGATACATACAAGAGACTGTAGACACATATAAGCACATACATACTGTGTATACATTTATAAATACACACACTACTCATGCACATATGACATGCATAATGAAAGAAAATCATGAACATACTACCAATTAAAAACTGGAGAAAACATTAAACTTGTCACAAATCTGTATGACATTCTTTCACAGGGGCTATGCCAATAATAAAGAGCCCATTTTTTATTAAGCCCTCTCCATTATCTTACTGAATCCTTTCCCAAAATAAACACCTTTCTCAACTTATGTTCTTTCAAAAGAAACAGCAATTGGCGGAGCGGCTGAAGTGGTAAAGAGCTTGTCTAGCAAGCATGAGGCCCTCAGTTCAAACCCCAGGACTACCAAAAAAACAAAACAAAACAAAACAGCAATTAATTTTTAATTTCCAAAAGCAGATTCATGGGTAGTCTGTCAAATGGCTCCTGAGTTTTATCCTCAAAAGGATTTTCTAGATATATGTATAAAACATTAAGACCTTTTTATATAAACTTACTATAGAAATAGATGACAAAACAAGGAATATAACCATTTGCCTCCTTTTCAAATCAGGTAGTTCCTTTATTCAAAAACATCAGATTACCCTAAAACATTTTTTAACTACAAAGTTGTATAGAGGGTGTGAGACTTTATAGCTTCTGAAGAATAAGTAATGGCAAAAGTTCTTTAAGTCATGAAACCTCAACTTCTAGGAATGCTTCTCTCCTTCTAGTCCTTCTAAGAGTCCCACCACCAAACAAGTCATAGATTTAATTGGATTAGAATCTCTTCCAGGACATGTTATTCATCTTATATGTCCTCTACATAGGAATAACACAATGTGTGTTATAACTAAGCTAAATTAAAAAAGAAAAGCTTTGAACCATTTCATTACCTAGATACAACTGGAAAACGATAAGCCTACTTCTCAAGAGTTTAAGAAAAGATAATGAAAAAGAATAAAACCACCATAGATGCCTTGTTACATTACTTATCCTTATCAAACCTAATTCAAAATTGTGTATTGACACTGCAAAAATAAGTCTGTGGAGATAAACTTAAAAAAAACACTGATCCTAAAGTTCTCCTATCAATATCCTCAAATACTATAACAGAATCTTTAACCTTAAACTCATACCAACATCTCTACCCCTAAACAAAGCTTAAAAGGAAAGAAAGAGCTTCAAATTAAGATCTATATGGAAATAGTTCTATTTCACTACAGTTTAAATTCCTGACATTATAAGCATATTCATTTGATTGTGCTTTGCTCATTTTCTATTGTGGGCTCTATCTTTCATCAGTTTCTTGAAGGATAAGTGACCCCCCCAAAAAAACCTAAGAACAACTAATCTAGCATATCAAGAAACATTACATTTCCTAGAGGAACACATCTGAGTTAGTTCAAGCATTCTTCCCTCAAATTCAGAGGGGATTCCCCTCTACAAAATTAAGTCTTTCAATGAATTTCTTTGGTCCAGCCAAGAAGTTCGAATATCCAGAGGCATATATGTTAATAATTCCCAAATCCCAACTCATTTGACTCATAAATGCCAAAAGAAAATGCCAAAGAAAGCACACTCTATTACAAACTGGGCACCCTGTTAAGATTCTTAAATACTCTTGTATCCTTCCACATTAAATTGTCTAGAAGACCTAAATTCCCCCAAACTGAACAGACTTTTAAGGATTTTCTGGTTTCAATTCCATACTGACTCATCTGCTAACTCAATGTAAGATATATAACTGTTGAGACAACTCCCCTAATATGCACCCAGGCTATTTTATTAATGACATCTTGATTATTCACACTCCAAGGCACAATTTATTGTATAGGTATTCAACAAACTTTGCTCAATGCATAATAAAGGATCCTTCCTCCCACAGAATGAAAGTTGAATTGTCCAAAGGTGAGCGCAGATCAGTGACAGAACACTTGCTTAGCAGGTGTGATGCCCTGGATTCAATCTCCAGCACCAAAAAATTAAAAAATAAACTGCTGGCACCCATGCAGCTACTCTGGTACAAGTTAGTCTGTGAAAGCCTTTCCTCTCTTAAACATAAAAGCTAAAGTGTCAGAAATGCTACGCTTCCTTGATAAATATAAAATAATACAGTCATAAATACCAATTCCATATAGGTCACACTGGCAAGAACCACCGATATTCCACATTCATGTCTGACACTTTGCTTCTCCCAAATGTAATTAAAATACTCATATATTCCTGTCTTTCCAATATATTCATATTTTCCAACAAAGACCTCTGAGGCACTATGACCTGATGAGTATATTGCTAGGTTAGTAGTCAAAATATCTGAGTTAGAGTCCCAACTCTCCCCTCCTTCCAGTACTGGGCCTCACACTTACTAGGCAGGCACTCTTACCACTTGAGCCATATCACCAGCCCTTTTCTGTGTTGGGTATTTTTTAGGTAGGGTCTCAAAAACTATTTGCAGGGTTAGCCTCGAACCGAGATCCTCCTGATCTCTGCCTCCTGAGTAGCTAGGATTACAGGCATGAGCCACCAGTGCCTGGAAGTCCCAAATGTCTCCAATTTAACGTGTGAAAATCACATGTTATAAGTTGTCTCTTTATGCCTCAATTTCCTATTTTGTAAACTGGTAGAAAATATATCCTACCATCTTCACAGAGATTTAAAAGCACAAAGAAACTGAAAGTTTTTAAAGTGTTACTTATACCCACATCAACAAAAAAAGGCTCCTATTCGTCATAGCCTTGTAGCAATTATTCTGTTAAAGATAATCTGGGCCTTCCTTCCCCTTTATTCAATTCACTTTATTCAAAGGCACAAACTATTTCAAAGACTAAAACTGGCTATACCAAGTTTCTCCACTCCTTGGCCCTACACATACATCCCATATAATCTAAAATGCCTTTACTGTTCCTTCCCGACAAGAAATTAATTAGGCACTCCCAATTCCTAAAATATATACACGTATCAAAGTACAGGGTACATCCGGACATTTATTTTTAAAATTAAGCTAACCTATAAGGGTAACTCCATTACACATAAATACAAATACATGCTAACTCTTCTGGAACACTTTCCATTCTTGCATACACACACAAACACAGCCGCTATGACACCAACAGACCATCTGTCTTCTAGACCAAAAACATCTCTTTCCATGCACAAACTAACCAGTGACATTTATTAAACTTGTAACACCAAGATCATGCTGTCGTTTCTACATACACTTTGGCGTGTCAGGGACACCACAGACCTTGTGGTAAACTACCCTCTGAAAGATCATCTCCCTTGCCACTTTTGTCCCTTAAACAGACACAAACTGGATTATGGGAGATACACCAATCATGCCCACATACACAAACTAACCTGTCAGGGGCACGGCCGGCTCCGCCTCCACTCGCTTACTTTCCCGCCCCTCTCCCCTAAGTCCAGAGCCCGCCTGTCAGGGACACCCCTTTACCCCCGCCTGGAGGGACTTCCCGGTAAGCTCAGGATCCCCTTCCTTACGCTCCCCTCCCCCATCCTTACCACCGCTCTCCCGGAGGTCTAGGTCCGGGAGATGACAGTAGATCCCAGGAAACCAAGGACTGAGTCGCTGGGAGAGAACTTAGGCCCAAAGGCCTGCCCAAACCGCTCTACTCACCGTGTCAGAGGCCGAGGCTGAAAGCGATGAGTGCAGGGAAGTGGGGAAGAGGGGGTGGCAGCCAGGCGCCTCCGCTTTCCCTTGGTCCACAACGGATTTCTCCCGCTTGTCAGGAGGCGGCCAGCGGGTAAGCGGACTGGCGGAGATGCGAGAGAGGCGAAGGGAAAGGCCTACGGCTAAAGGGGGGGGAAACTGAGGGGAGGCGGGTCCCGCAACTGAGACGGGGATCGTCTCCCCCTCCGCAAAGCGAAACCCAAAATGGCGGCGGGAGCGGCGGCGGCGGCAGAGCGGCGGCAGCGGCGGCAGCTCCTCAGGAGGGAGGGAGTGAGCGAAGGGCGCCTAGTGCCCCCCCGCCTCCCACTCCTCCCTCCTCGCGTTCTCCCCACCGTACTCCCCCGCCCCCCCGCCGAACCCGACTCGGGCCGCGGAACGCGCACGCCCGCCGGCACGCACAAGAATGTTTCTGAGCTAGTCGCTCCTTGCTCCCACCAACCACCACTTTCGGCCCCCCTGGAGCCCGCCAGCCCGTAAACGCTCGCTCTGGGGCGCCTTCTCGCGCGGTCCCCTACACCTTCCTGGCCCCTGTCAAGTCCGCCGTGGCGCAGGCCCTCACGCGTACCTTCAGCAGCGCGAGCCCAAGCCTCCTCCTCCTCTTCCACCTCCTCTTCTTTCCTCCCTCCCTTCCCCGCCCCCACGGCTACCAACCGCCGCCACGGCCGCCGCCGCCACCGCCTCCTTCGGCACCCCCCCACCGCCTCGCGCGTGCGCCTCCCACAATCCCCCCCGCGGGACTGTTCCATTCCTGTTGGCTGAGGGGGCGCGGGAGAAAAGGACAGGCAAGGGCGGGAGGAGCTTGCTGTTACAACTGGCATTATACGAATGGCCACCCGAGACCTACGGCCACCTACCTCCCTGGGCTTGTCACCGCGGCGTCTATGCTTGCTGCACCTCTCCTTGTGGCCGCGGTGAGCGGGTCGGGGGCGGCATAGCGCCCCTCTGCTGGCCGATGGTTGGAGGCCGCGGCGACTGCGCGTTGAGTAGCTTCCTGCCATACGACCCGAGCTTTCTTCCCAGTTGCAAGGTTGGCACTAGGGAGCTTGCTGCAGGTCGCGTGTGCCAGTCACGTCGGGCGAACTGATCCTCGGTTCACGGTGAGAGAACTGACTCGTACCGGGGATGTACCAAGGAGGGAAAGGAGCGGGACTTGGAACTTCCCTGAGGTAGGGAGTGAGGCCAGTAGGGCCGGCGCCTGTCCTGGAGAGGGCATCCTCCCAAGACTCTGGGTTGCGGACCTGGGACCCGGAGAAGAACGGGCGCGATGGTCTGCCTTTTATTGATGTTCTTAACCCAGTTTAGGTTTCTTGAATTTCACACAATGACCTATCCGCTACAATGTTTTTGTGCCCTTTGCACACTTTCAAAGGTATACATTTTTAATTTTAATAGGCAGCCAGTTAGAGAATAAAGCAACCAGGTATTTCCTATGTGGCCAACTTCGGATCCTGTGTGGCCTTAAGCAAGTTATTTTTCTTAGCTCTTACCAAAAACTGAACAAAAATTTAGGTTAACTTCAAATACGCCTTCAGGATTTGTGTGTGAAATAATATATGTAAAGTAGAATTAGCTCCTAGGCACAGGAGAAGTGCAGAGTATTGTGTTATCGTTTCCAGTTCTGTTGATGTTGATAATGTAATGTTGTAAGGTGTAATTGGTAGTTCTAGCTTTCCAAATTGTTAATAAAATAATGTAAAACAAGGGCTATCAGATGCACTGGCAGGACCTATGGAGTATGAAAATCCACATATAATCCCGAAGTTTACTTTAGTAGTTTTTAGTTTCACCCAAAGGGCAAAGCAAAATAAATTAGGTGAACCATATACTTAAGTTTTTCTTCTTTTTATCTGTGGACTTTAAGGAATAAGTCAAAAACCACTAGGACTGGAGGCGCGGCTCAAGTGGCAGAGGCACAGGCTCTGAGTTTAATCCCCCGTACCTGAAAAAAGAACACGAGAACCATTATTGTATTAGTTTGATCTAAAAGGCCCATTGAAGCCCTAAAGTTTAAATCAACAATTCCCCCCTTAGAATGTATGGATCAAGTTTTGCTTGCTTGTTTTGTTCTTTTCAGTTAAATGGGGGGGATCACCCTTAATTACCTCCCTATATGTTTACTTTTCCTAACTAAGCCCCAGCTGATTCATGGAGCCCACCTAGATTTTCACTAATGTTTTTCTAATTGCTTCAGTAATGCAGTGTTTCATGCTGTCGACAACTTATTTTGAGGGAGAGACTGTGTCTGTGTGTGTGTGTGTTGCTGGGGTTTGAACTTAAGAGCTTGCTGAGCAAGGCGCTCTACCACTTGAGCCACTCTGCCAGCCCACTTTTGTGTTGGATTTTTTTTTTTTTTTTTTTTTTTTTGCGGTACTGGGGCTTGAACTCAGGGCCTTCACCTTGAGCTACTCCACCAGCCCTATTCTTGTGAACGGTTTTCAAGATAGGGTCTCTCAGAACTATCTGCTTGGACTGGCTTCAAACCACGATCCTCCTGATCTCTGCCTCCAGAGTAGCTAGGATTATAGCATAAGCCACTGGTGCAAAGTCTCTACCTTTACATTACTTACTTTCATAGTCCTTTTGCAAAGCAAATCATGAAACTATTGAAATTAATGTAAGATATTTAAGGTACCAGAAGAGAATGAGAATTAACTTTGGTGGAATACAATGTCAACAGAGCATATGTTCCTGTTTAATCCTTATAACAATACTTTGAGATAATCTTATACTTGGTTTACAGGTGAGAAGCCTGAGGCTAAGAGAAATTCAGTAATTTGATCTTTAGACTTTAGTTTGCCTGTCACTTTAAGTGTTTTTTCCTGAGTTCAAACCCTAGAACCACCAAAAAAACAGTTAACTTTTTCACTATACCACATTACCTTTACAGTAAAATTTCTTAGCAGCATAACTACATATGCTACAAAGAAAAAAAAGGAAAAACTTTTTTCCCGGTGTTGTAGATAAAACCCAGGGCCACTGGGTGCCGGTGTCTCATGCCTATAATCCTAGCTACTCAGGAGGATCACAATTCCAAGCCAGCCCAGGCAAATAGTTCATAAGACCCTATCTCGAGAGAAAAAAAAAAAAATCACAAAAACGGGCTGGTGGAGTGGCTGAAGGTGTAGGACCTGAGTTCAAGCCCCAGTACAAAAAAAAAAAAAAAACAACAATAAAACAGGGCCTCCTGCCACTGAGCAAGAGCTGTACCACTGAACTATATCCCTAACCCAAAATGACATTTTTAATGGGATCACCAGTATATGAAAAGTTACTTGTGATCTCTGAATTCAAGTAGCTTTCAATAGCTACACTGATTCATGAATTTTTGGCTAAGTATAAACAAATAAAGTGGTATTCTGAATGCCTCAGCACTCACCATAAACTAAAATTATTAACTGCTCAATAGAACAACCTCATTGAATGAATGGCCCTTGAATTATTTGAACCAATGAACATATGAAAGACAGGAGTATGATTTCCCTAAATACATCCATATCTAATCTTTGGAACCTGTGACTATGCTAGATTATGTGATGAAAAGGAAATGAAAGAATAAGATAGAGATTGGTGCTGATCAGTTGATCATAGGAAGATAATACTTGATTATCCAGTATTATTAGGCCCACAGCAATTGAAAGTCTTTAAAAGATGGAAGAGGGAGACAGATGAGTCAACTCAGTGTCACAGTGATATAATGTGAGCAAAAACTCCAAACCAGCCATTGCAGATTTCAAAAATGAAAGGGACACATTGAGCCAAGTGGCCTCTAGGAGCTAAAAAAGACAAGAATTAAGACTCACTGAGAGCCCCTAGGAATGCAACCTTGCAACACTTTTGAGTTTCTGAACTGCAGAACTATAAAATAATTTTTGTTGTTTTATACACTAAGTTTGTGGTAATTTGTTACAGCAGCAAAAGGAAACTAATCCATAATGGGAGCCAAGTCATGGCTAACCTCCAGAGTAGTCTGCCTTGAGTTGTGGTTTTTGTGCTTTTTTAAAATGAGGGTGTGGTTTAACTGAAATTTCTTTCAATAAAATGATAGACAATCAACAGAACTGCCCAGATTTCCAGTATTGCCTTACTCCTCTGCTCCTGGCATCAGTCCTCTAAGCTGGCCTTTTAATACTGCTATACAGCAGCAGTGTTAGCTGAGCTGCACTTACACTTCCCCACAAGAGTAGAAGAAATTAAATACTTATTTCACGGTGCTTCCTTGCTTGACTATTTTCTAAATGTAATATAGATAGGAAGCATTTTTTTTTAATATTGAAAACAAGGTTTCAAATGCTAAATGGAATATGGATGTGAGGATGATCTGGCTATGACATCTGTCACCCCATTGGATCACCAGGGTTGATTCAACTGATTTGACTAGCTAGGTGGGTGTCTCCTTCCTCCCACACCCCTCCATATGTCCCTCCCAAAGCAACATGGTCTGGCAAAGAGAACAACCTTTTCTCATAGTGGAGAACAATTCCTTTTTTTTTTTTCCTGCATCCTCACCAGCGTTTGTTGTTCCTTGTTTCTTTCTTTGTTGGAGAGGGGCAGCACTGGGAATTGAACTCAGAGCCTCATGCTTGCAAGGCAGGCACTCTTACTGCTTGATCCACTCTGCCAACTGGAGAACAGTTCTTTTGTCAAAAGTAAGAGTAACTCCACACACTGGTGGCTCATGTCTATAATCCTAGCTACTCAGGAGGCAGTGAATAGGAGGATCACCGTTCAAAGCCGCATGAGCAAATAGTTCGAGAGACTCTATCTCGAAAAAAACCTTCCACAAAAATAGGGCTGGTGGAGTGACTCAAGGTGAAGGCCCTGAGTTCAAGCCCTAGTACCGCCAAAAAAAAAATAATACATGGTATGAGTAGCTTTGTTACCCTGCTAGAACCTCCAAAGAAGCTCCCACAGCTCAGCATTTTACTGAGCTATGTAAATTTGGTACAGAATTAGTAGTAATAATAAACTGTTCATTTAGAAGCTATTTAATCCTTATAACAATCCTATATTTAGATACTATCATTATCTCCATTTTAGAAATAAGGGAACAGATCCAAAGTTTAAGTAACTTGATCGAGGTCATACAACTATGTGGGAGAGCCAGGTTTCAAATCGCAGCAGCAACCATTCTGCCATAATTACCTGTTTCCTTGTCTGTAAACGGAAGATAGGACCTCCATTATAGGATTGTTGAAAAGATAAAATGAAGTAGTTCACATAAAACACATGGAACAGTTATTGACACACAAAGAAAAGTGTTCAGTAAATGTTAACGATTGCTATCATGGTTATTTGAAGTTTTTGGAGCCTAGACTTTTCCCAGTGTGTTTTAGGAACTTGAGAGAGGAAGTCAAAGCAGATGCTCCTTATTCTTGCCTTTCCTAAAAACAACCTTTTAATTTTATTTAATTATTTGTTTGTTTATTTTTGGTACTTGAACTTAGGGCCTATACTTTGAGCCACTCCGTAGCCCTGTTTCTGTGGTGGGTGTTTTTGAGATAGGGTCTCGAGAAGTATTTGGCCCGGGCTGGCTGTGAATCGTGATCCTCCTGATCTTTGCCTCCTAAGTAGCTAGACTTACAGGTGTGAGCCTCAGGTGCCTGGCAAACACAGCCTTTTTAAATCTACCTTATATGTTGGTATTGTAAATTGCACTTCATTTGGTAAAAGTTCTGTTACCAAAAAAAATAAAAACTGCTCTAGTTCAGTGCCTTTGTTTTATAGGTAAGAAACTTGGACTCAAAAAGAAAAGGGACTTTTAATAAGCTTATAACTGTCATTTTTTATTTGTCAAAGGAAGAACTTTGTGATTTTTGTATGGGGATGTGAAAAGCCAAATGATTTATCAAACATTCTCAAGATAGATTTAGATGTGTTGTTAGACTGGTGATCCACTATTTATATTTAGCTTCAATCTCAGCATAACACTATTTGTATCAGGGTTTTCTATTTAGAGAAGTAAAATCTATACAAAATAATTACTTGACTTTAAAAGACTCATTGGGTTTTTTGTGTCCTTTTTTTGTTGCTGAGGATCGAACCCAGGGAGTCCTGCATGCTAGTCAAGCATTTTGCCACTGATCTACACCCCCAGCCCTGGGTGGCATTTTATTGATAGGTTTTTTAAATTTTCCTTTTGCCTGGGTACTAGTAATATGATCCATAA